ATATTTCCGCTCATGAATTACATTCTTAATTTTTTCTGGAATTTGAATTAGTTTTTATTTGTTTATTTGCTTAGATAAAACTTTAGAATTAATGAAATTATTCAAAAGGCTGTTTTAAAATTATTTAAGGTGGGTAAAATATTGACAAACCTAAGAAAATTATTGTTTGTTATGTCAGATATTCTATAATTTCCATAAAAAAATAAACGAACAAATAAAATAAATATTAACAAGTGGCGAATTTACATGTTAGAAATTAGACTATAAATAATTTTAAATAAACTTCTTAATATCTAAATCGACTTTATGCTTCTATATATTCATCACACACGAAAGGCAAATTTTGTTTCCCTTTTTACGTTTAATTGTTCTTCAATGTTTTTATGATGGCGCCAGAAATATAATTGGGGCAGATTTCTGTTAAAAAGCTTTCATAATTCCAGCAACTAATTCAGCATTCACGATAATAGAAATTCATCAATCATAATTTACCTTTTAATGCATTGATACATAAGGTTCAATATAAATAAAATTTCAATTAAAAAAAACATATTCGCACATCTTATATTTGATTCTTTCAGTTACAAAAATAATAATTATAAATAGATACTTATAAAATAAAAAGAAATTAGTTTAATCTTAAAAGTGCATAATGCAGCCTTAATCAATAATTAAAATTTAAAAGAAAATAGTATTGATAGTCTGTGAACCACAAGCATTTCCATTATCGACAAGGTATTTGACTAAAACATTTTAGAAGCAACCACGTAACGTTTTTATCATCGAATCAATTATGAATCATTTTAATAGAACGCTCAATTAATAACTGATGGGCCTGATTTTGACTCTTTGGAAATTATGCAAGGAGCCTTTCGCATATCTTCTTCGGAATTATATCTTCAACTCTAATGATACTAACATATTTTCTTAATAGGATCTTAATATTTCTTTCAAGTATCACTAATTTTCGACTATCTTGCTATTTTTTTATGTTAATTAACATGTTTAACCAAAATAAATACTAAATTTATTATTTGGTTTTTTTATTATTTTTTATGATAATTAAAATGTTTATTAAAAATTAAAAAAACTGAAAGTTTATGTATTTTTTCAATATTTTTTCCAGATTCTTGGTAATTTTGGGCATACATTTAGAAAAGAAAGACTTCAATTACAGTTTGAAAACAATGATTCGAAAGTGATTTATTACATGTCAAAGATTATCATGATAGTATATTGAATGAAATGGAAAATGAATATTTTGAGACATCTATTCAAGCAATATTAGAAAATTGTCATAATTTCCAGAATTCCTCTATTATTCGTTTTCTTTTGCTCTCCCATGTTTATTGCCTGCTTAAAGTTATCTTGTGTTATCTTCTATGAGTTATTTTCGCTAAAATCAAACGCTTAGTTATTGATTAAATCGTCTTCTAATTAAAAAAAATGGAAATTGTATTAAGTACAAATATTTCTTCATAATTTTTAGACATATCTAATAAAATAAAACTTTTATGAGTAAACAAAAATCATATTATTAGGTAATTAAATTATGAAAAACCTTTAATTTTTCAATATAATAAATAATACATAAATAAAAACTGTTCTTAGAACTAAGATGAAGGGAGTAATTTTATNATATATATATATTATCATATGCCTATGAAAAGGATATACAAATGACGATTGAAATCGTTCAATATTTTACCATTGAATGACATTAAAATGAGGTCCTGTTTGAGAAACATTTATAAAGTTCATAAGTACTTATTTTTATGAATCAATTACATTAAAGTAATATTTCGACTTCATCGAACATGCTTCTTTGATTTTTAACAATAAATTAGCTGCCTTGTCCATGAGAACTGGTATTTTGTTTATAAGAACAATTTCAAAATTTGAACATTATTTCTAATTATTATAATTGAATTATCCAAAAGTACATAGGAATTTTAAATGTTTCATTCATTTCTAAGCTTTAAATGCGAATAAAATACTTATGCTGCAAAATTTTATAAAATGATTTCTTTTTTTCGCATAAGTAGATAGTTAGAAATTTTAGTAGGAATGTTTCTGCAATATAATTCACTTCTTTAAAGTTTGTAGGATTGTTCATGTCTCAGAATCGGTGATACTAATTCAATATACAAGAATGAAACGTTGAACTTAAAAAACATTTCTTGAAATTATTATTATTAATTGACTGTATATGTTAAAATTAGTTCCAAAAATTTGAGTTTAAAATTAAGTTACCTAAGTTGCATACTTTAATTATAATCTTTCAGCTAGATAGCTATTTCATTTTTGTGATTTTTAATTGAACTACTTATTCAATAAAAAAGTAATGCAGCTTTATTTGAAAAATCAAGTTGTTTCAATTAATTTTTAAAAGAGTTTTCCAAAAAGTAAAATCTTCTGAAAGATTTTTGAAATGAGAAAAAGACTTTGTGGAAAATTTGTAATATTCGAATTTCTAACTACATGTCATAAGTTCCTGTGAGATTTTAATGATTTTGAAATTTAGCAGTCTATGTCAAGGTTTAAATTTCATACAATACTTTTGAAAGCTTTGAAAATTTGCCAATTTTTGATTTTTAATTATATACATATTGGAATAAACAAAACTTAAAATTTAAAACCTGGTGAAACTAACATACATACATATATTTTCTTGGCTTTGAACTGAAAATCTCTTAAAGAAATATAGGTTTAAGGATCATTTAAATTAAGTATTTGTTTTTTTTCATCTTAAAAGTCTATCCTTAGAGGTTAAATATATGTATGCAATGCATTTAACATATACATAATAACAACTCTATATTATATACTATAATATAAGTGCTGCTATATGATGTTATTAAGTTATCATACTTACCTTAATAATAAAAAAAAAAATGAAAGAATCAGCTGCCAAAACATTTAATTTTATTCATGTATGTGATTAATTTTGGCGACAGATTTAAAATCAACTTCTATCTAGTTCAATCAATCTAATCGAATGAAATTTTTATAATTATTCTTTAGTTCAGTAACCTTGAAATCAGAAAAAGATACTGATCTTCAAAAGAGCCTTATTATGCTTTTTATTTTATCATGTTCATCCTTAAAATTTGACTTTTCAATGTTGAAACAAAGCTCTTGTGAAGTATTCAATCTATTTCTATTTCTTTTTCAAATAGTTTTCAATTGGTTTTTCCTTAATGTGTTTTTATGTATATAAGATTCACATTATTGAAATTTTATTTGGAATATTTAGCTGCCCAATTTATAATCTATATCTAGAAGTCTGAAAAGTTTTCGTAAAGTCATATATCACGCGGCTCTGGTGTATATATAATTTTCTATCCTCTTAGGGCTTGATCAAGCTACTAGACAACTAATATTTGTTGCTTCACCTTAAGTTTTGTGATATATGATCAACTCTTTGGGTTCCTTGTTGTTTCCATAAGCGCACAATTTTTATTTAAAAATTCATTTATATCATGTTTATGTACGTGATCTTTTGAAAATTTAACTTATACGTTCATTTTCATATATTTGTAACGTGAACGCCATCCTTTTGCTTATTTTTATTTTTTTTTAAATTCATGTTAAAAATTTAATCATTGTAAAATGTAAGTAGAAGAGACATATCTTAATGTGTCTTCATATAGGAATTGTTATCTAATAGAAATAATATGGAAAGGAAAAAAATGAAGCTGAATACATCATTATTTTCTTTTTTACATTTCATTTTCCAATTGAGCATCCATCAAAATAAAATAAAAATGTTAACCGTGTTTTTATAAGAATAATCCGAATTTCCAATTTAAACAGATTTCAACTGTGTTCAGTTCTTTTTCTATCATCATATCAGTTTTTTAACGGTTGTAGTGTGTAATACTTATGCTAATAACCTGGTTTAATAGACATTATTTTTATCGGCCGCGAGCCCATCTAAGAAGTGCATCTGCGAGGACATCCAAATGGGCCTTTGTCTAAAATATAAAATAACATATAAATATTTTGTTGAACCTAAATTTATGAAAACTGAGAAATGAACTATGACATATGTACATAGTTATAAAAAATCTCAGCATCGTTATCATCAAACATTTTCGATTAATAATTTGAACATAAATTGAACTTACAGTCTTGTAAAACATACAAGCTTGACGATCTTCATCAGCTCCTTCTGGACAATCTATGAAGCCATCGCAAAGTACGTGGTCATCTATGCAGCGATAACGTCCTTGACGATCTGGTGTGGGACATGCAAAACGTTCCATTCCGTCAGTTGCTGGTGGACACTCTAAAGATTAAAACATGTAGAATAAATTTAGTAAACTTTTCAACATGAATGCATCAGACATAATGGTATAAATTGAAAAAAAATATTACGTATTAATGGAACATCATATTCTCGCTGTCTTCTTGTAGTTCTGGGCATTATCTGATTGACCATTGCACCAGAAACATCCTGCATTTCTTCTCCATTAACAATTTCGTTGCTTCTCTTTCTCGGTGCATCGATAAAACCATTATCGTCATTTAATTTAAGATATTCATCATCTTTGTTTCTCGCCTGTTGCTGAAGCTGAAAATTTTGATATTTCTTAGCTCCTTCTAATCCAAAGAGCTGTTGAAGCTCATGTTCTTCTTTATTCGTTGGAAAAAAGGAGTTTGGATAGTCACTTGTTTCCAGTGATGGAACGGGATAAAAGTTTTGATTAGTCAGAACGCTTCTGGTTTTATTTGTTTTCATATACTGTTGATCGCTTCCTGTTATGTTTTTAATTGCATTGCTCTCTTCACTTGTTATATTTTCTACGCTAATCTTTCTCTGCCCATTATCAAATCTGCTCATCAGGTTTGATTTTTTATTACTTTTAAGTGCTTTGAATTTGCTATTACTGTTTTCGTTGCCTCTTATCTTTTGATTGAGTTTTTTGGTGGCGCTCTTTGTAGAAATTCTTTTATCACTGTAACCATCCTTCATATTGGAATACAGTATGCTATTCATATTTTGAACATTAAATAGTTTTGGTATAAGATACTCAGCCTGTGATTGTATTTCTTCATTGCTTATTTTTGTCCATTTATAGCCATCACCATCGTTACTTGACACCTGTGATGGCTCCTTATTCTCAACTAAGGATGGTGAGGCATGCCGATAACTCACTATAGATCGTTTTGTTATATAATTTGAACTTGTTGCTACTGTTATTATGCTTAAACAGGTAATAATTTTCAGTAGTTCATGCAACATTGCCTTAAGCTTTGGTAGCGTAGAATCTTTTAATGTCGTTTGTTTTAAATCGAATTCACTGTTTCAAATGCTGCTTCAGATGAAATGTTTGAAGAAAAATTAAGCCTTTGAAAGAATAAAGAAATTTTATCATTACAAATATTGCCTTGAAAAGCACATCTACATATGGTATCAAAGCTTTAATACAAAATTTCACGATGTTAATAAGAGAGTGACTTTTCCGCCAGTTTCTTGTTCATTTGTGTATAAAACTTTAGAGAATGGCCACTTTTATATTATCATCATTCATTCTACAAAAACGTTGAAAAAAATCTTAATACAATTTCATAAAGATATTAGACTATGTATGCATAAGTCGCTATACATTAAGCTATAAATAATAAAGAAATAGCGGAAAAAATTAAGTTCGAAACTAATGGAACCTTACTCACTAAGCATCCTTATCTTAATTTGTTTAAGCATAATGTTGTTATAACATATGAAAATTCTGTTTAGTAATAACCACAAATTTGTATAAAATAACAAGTTGTTCTCATCCTAGAAACAACACAAGAATATTAATATCTAAATATCCTTTCTAATTCTTTAATAAACTTGAGAAGATTCTGAATAAAATGTGTAAAAAAATTACTAGTAACATTCACTAAACGTTACAGTTCTATGTAAACCACTGTTACAGAGATCAAATTTTCATGGAAACTCCAGTCTATGATTAACCAAAATTAATCGTATTTTTAGCTCATACCATCAATGACTATATTTAAGATAGGTAGTTAAAAGTATAGTGCAATAAAATCTAATGATATAATATAAGATACAATAGACTCATAATAAAACGATAGCTGAAGGGAAACGGAGAAATATCGTATTTTCTAAGACCACCTGTAAATAGCAATGAAGTAAATTTTAAGCTTGGTAGTTTTAGAATGTTTAGAATCTTTAAACAGTGTTCTATTTTAGGAAAAAAATAAAGTCACTTCCATTAATTTATCATTAGTAAAATATTGAATCTCCTTTAAAATTTGTATTCTTAAATTTGTGCCAAATAATTTTTTCTCTCATTTGGATATTCAATTTTTATTTGTGTATTAGATAATTTGTAGAGATAAATTTTATATGTACAGGAAATACAAAAAAAAAATTGTTTCAAGTATTTTTTTCATTTCTGAATTTATTTGACTGTTATGCAAGTAAAACGTAGAAACTTCATCATGTGTATATAATTTTTTGAATATTTATTTATCTACTTAATATTTCATATGTATCTCAAAAAAGAGAGTATAAATGGGAATATAGAAAAATTTAAAGGATACAAGTTAAGATTCTTATGTTTTGTTTCAATATCCCACATTATCCAAACGAATAGGATTATTATACTTGCTTCCTTTAAATTTTAACAAGATTTTATTTTTGTCCTAAAAATTACATTTCTCATTTACATATTTCATAAAAAAATAATTAAAAAACCTTGAAGTTAAAAATTGAAGATTATCACAAATACCATTCAAGTAAAAGTAAGCACGTATGCCATTACTTTTTGAGCCCCATATTATCCTAACTTCCTGGGTTACTTCAGTTTTCTTTCGATATAGTAGGATCCCAGTTTTAGATTAACTAAATGCTAATCTATGGTATTGAATTTGAAAAGAATATTAAGATACCTAAATCAAAATTCTGCTTCCGCTAGTTTGGAGATGGGAATGTCTGTTGAACCTGAGAAACTGTTTCAATCTTAGTCATTACATTTTAGAAGTCAAAAAACTTCTTACAACAAGAAATTTAAGTTATCTTCTTTTGATACTACACTAGCTCATATTAAATGTCAATGGGTTAATACCATTACTATTGATAATTTTCTATGTAAATTAATGAATGGTCAACGAATATCTTAATAAATTCCAATATTATATTCCATACTTATATTGATTAAGATTGTGAAATAAAATTTCCCCAAATATGATTCTTAAAACAATTCTATTATGTATATACATAAAATTGGAAATTTCAATAAGTAATTACCTTTTAAAAAATGATGTCTCAAAATCCTAAAAAATACCATATCCACTTAGTTTTGGGTGCAACATCCTTTTTTGTTATTTTTTTTTCTTATTTACTGTTATTCTGGCGAAAAATTATAATACTTATATTTTTTCTTCTACACAGTTCCATGAACTTTTTTTCTCATTTTCTTAAAGAAATTTTTACATTCATTGTTTTGAAATCATTGTTTATCATTCAACACAACTTTAATTAAAGACTTCAATTCACTAATTGAATAAACTATTTCAACTCTAGTAACTTGAAAAAAATCTCATGATTGTCTGAACTTCTAAAGAAGGAAGGACAGGTCAACTCAAACTGATGCTTAAAAATATTATTGGTGATTTTCCTTTTTTCTCTAAAATATTTGCGTCACTTTCAATAAACTAAGAATGAGTATCAGATGGAGGTTTTTACATTACTTTATGTAAATGTACAACTAACACAATGAATTGTTGAAAGCAAAGTCATCGGTTTTCTTCAATTCTTTTTTCTAATTTGTATGTCCCACCTCCATCCAATTATATTTCCTCCAGATTTATATTTTACATAAAATTTGAAGAAGTATTAGTGGTATTTCCCATATTTTTCGAATCCTTGTTTCATATTTAACATATACAAAATATAAATATGTATATAC